TAGGTCATGTTATTTAGTTCCATACTCCAGTCAACTCTTACTAAGCACCACTCAAACCTTGTTAGTGCTGATTATCAAACCTCTTTACACAAGCTGACCACTTCTTCTCCCCACGTTGATTGTCAGTTCTGCCCTAGGCTTCATTAGTTTTCCGGAGCAGAAGCAGTGACAGCCATGATTTGTTTATGACCTTCCTCCACTTGCTGAGCAGTCAGGTTCACTGAGTGGTTTTGCCTATCTTGGTGTGGAGCAAGATGTGGGGAGTATACACAACAGCACCCTTTTAGTTTATACTCAAAGTAGTTGTTTTGGTCCTCCCTTCCAAAATGATGTCCAGGTAATGAAATAAGCATTAGTTGTTGGAATACAATCATCATGTGAGGCACTAGGAAACCTTGCCTACTCATTGATACCCACTGTGACTGTGTTATGATGCTGGGATGTGTTGGTAGCATGGTAATTTTTGATGAATAAGTTTTCTATGGTACAAACTTCTTGGGAAGATGATCTGGTTGAGGTACAAACACCAGCTATCACTGTAGGTTTCTTCTACTTCTCCTGTGACTTGCTTGAAGTTACCAACTCAAACTTTGTTGCCACAGATAATGCCTCTATTATGGTGAAGATGTGTCTAACATCCAAATGAGGTTAAAGTGCTTCACTTGGCAGTTCCTCCATGACAACATCTTAAAAATCTCCTGAAAAATGATGGGATATGGCTTCCTATGTAAGCAAAGTAAATCATCTGCATTATTAGCCAAGCTCTCTGGGGACGTTTCTTATGAACCTTGAACTTGGCACAGTGGATAGTTCAGTTCTCCATTCGGTCAACACATTGGCACAACTCAGTTAAAACTGTATCCAAATCACTAAGATGCACCTTCTTCAAACGCTCAATCGAGTCAAGGGCTGATCCATCAATAATAAACATCAGGTGTTGAACCACCTGTTCTTGAGTCCACCCATTCTAAACAGTGAACTGCTTGAAACATTGAAAGTGGTATAGGTCTTCCTATGCTTCACATAATTCAAAGGGTCTTGTGGTTGCACAACCAAGACATCCTAATTGGCATCTTGCCCATCTCCAAACTGATACACCCACCCACAACATCAGGGGTATAGAGTATGGGTGGAACCAAGGGACCCAAATGTTTGGGCAAATATTTCATCCCTGCTCCTGGGCAGAAGAACAATGAGTTGTTGTTGGAAACTTTACTTCTAGCTCTGTGGCTAGGACACAAAAATTTCTCACACTAACTTACTCTGTGATATTTTCAGGTTTAATGATTACCTTCAGAAAAGAGTAGCACTGCATATAACAAGAGGTTATATCAGGAAATGTATTATTGAGTTAAAACTGAAAATTTGACTTAAATGTGTGAAAGGAACAAACTAAACATTATGTAAAATAAACTGTAAAGTAATCTATATATATACTTACAACATAGGTCACAGATGGGTGCATAAAAATGATGAACAGCACCTCTCTCTCTCTCTTACTGCTAAAAAGTTTTACTGGGAGAAATTCTGGATTGATACTGAGAGAGTATAGCATTATATACAAAATACAATATCATTATCCCTGTCAAATCACAGGTACTACCCATGTCACTGATCATGGGTTGAAATAAAGAGAACAGATATTCCTCAAGTTAAATACAGCAATATTACTAGAGAATGTGGATACTAGGTCTTCAACAGCATTAACCACATAGAAGCCCAAAAATATCCAAGTGAGACACTTCTTGACTGACCACACAAAATAAAGTTAATTATTCAAAAGGCAAATTTCCTGTGATGAAAGTCTGTAAGCACTCTTAAAAACATACATATCTGAAAATCATTTAAACTTTTAGTAAACATTTTACTTTTCTATGTTAAAAGAGAAATGAAAAGTTGATATATTACCCTATGAAAATCATCTTACATGATACAATTACATTAATTAGAAACTAGATTCATCAACGAGTAACAGAATTCCAGAGAAAAAAGCAATGCTCAGGAACGAGTTTCCTTGTTACATACTACAGGTACATGCATACCATTTTACATAGTGAGTGATTTCTACAAAACTGAAAGGAATACTGTGGTTTTGAGAGGTGATACTGTGAAATCTACTTATTTTGTCAGCAGTATGACTTTTCCCAATGTCTACTTAAAAATTACATTTCATTTAGATCATGTTTTGAGGAATATCTGGTTATACTTACTTTGAAATATTTGTAGTCACTGTTTTCAATAGTAAATAAAAATGCAAAATTCCACTGTACAGAAAATGAGAGTCAAATTTTTTGCTTCAATGACTACAATGCTCAAAACCTACTAAAGTAACTTTCAAAAATGAAGCATGAATGACATACATAGAGCTATTTTAAGGGAATCAACAAAGGTAAACTATGAAAATCACAAGCTGGGAGAATGAAATTATATTATTGCATCTTCAAAACTTACCTTTAAATCCATCCTTCTGCAGCAGTGCAAATTAACAAAATGTTTTTATAATTTCATGCTTTTTTGTAGAAGTCTCATGAGTTATTTACTTAAACTTTTCAATGATTAATAAGTTAGTTCTACAACCACCACCATTCTTTGGATATATTCCTGTTAAACTTGATTAATGCTTCCTTTTAAGTTTTCTATTGTCATTAACAGATCAACAGTATTTACATTATATAAAAACGAATACAGTTTATAACACTAAGAGTAACTTACATGCTGAAAAGAGTACTTGACCTTAGTCTGTGTACGAGTATGCTCTCTTTTATACAGAGGCTTTGCTTATCATTGGATCTTAACATAATTTGAATGAGTGGCTTTGTCACATTCACCTACAGCATGTTCAAGTAATCTACATCTAGTTGTGGATCTAAGACTTGCATATTCTTTATAACATATCTTTTAAATTTATTTTAATAAACCAAATACAGCCTTGCTGAGAGGATAGACAAGTAAATTTATAAACTATATTTGATGACTTTAAATGCAAGAATACATCCTGAAATCTAGAAAAGAATTGTAGGTAACAGGTTTTAAAAACACCACTCAGCTGCATTTGAGAATACACTCTACTACATACACTCAAGTATGGCAAGGTTTAAGGGTTGTATTCCTGCATTAGTCAACCAACGTAATTCAAATTAAAAATAAAGTTTTACCTCTTGGTTTAAAATATAGTATTCTGAATAGGCTATGGTTTGAAGATTATTTTGTACAATTTGAACACTTTTGTAATTATTGTCATACTAACAAATGTGGTCTAACTATAGTCAATTATCTAGCAGTATTAGAACTCAGGTTTGTAGCATAGCTTTGATCCCTTTTAATAATCACAACTGTAAATATAAAAGTTCAAAGGAATGAATAGCTTTAAACATTTAAGTAAAAATTATATTATCAATACTTCTATATCTTGTAAAGGAAACACTATTGTAATATTGAATAAAGGTGAATATTTAAGAAAAGCAGAAAACATTTTAAATTATTCAACCAAGTTTGTGAAATTACACCATGATCCTATTTATACAATGAAAGTGCCAAGTTACAGAGGTACCTATTAAACCTGAAAAAGGATAATATTCTAAATAAAAAACAATAGTTGAACATTAGACTATCCTGCAGTTTTTATGGTGCCTGTAAAATTCATAAAGAGGGATTTTTACTGTGACCTATAGTTTCTAAGATTGTAACTCATAACCATGCTTTTAGTATTTTTTTTTTAGTTTAAATTTTGAAGACGTGTTCACCTCCAATGAACACGTATTGAAAAACAGTTTTGAATTTTCCAGTGAAATACAACAAATGAAGTTTAATAGCAATGTTCACTGCATCAGCTGTGATGTTGAGTCACTGTACACATTGCTTTAAGAAGTAATTTTGGAGTGGTCAAGCCACTGCCGCATTGCCATTTCTATAGGGTCTGGGGATTTGCCCCCCAGAAAATTTAATGCTATGAGATTGAATCTTGAGCCATTTTAACTACAAATACTGCATACACACAAAATGTATTCAATGAAAAGAAGCCAAGTTTTAAGACATAAATTGTAGCTATACATGCCAAGAAAAATGGTCAGCCCTTAGCCTGACTGGCCTTACCACTTCTTATGGTCCAGGTACACAAACATACCATTGGAAAAGATGGTACAGGTAAGTGCTGGCTTGATTTGTTAGCAACAACTTTTGTTTCAAATTCATTCTTCAAAAGTCTACTTAAAATTACTTTTAAAAATTAATATGATTTCTTAACATGCATGGTTTAGACATGATGAAATATTTAAATATCTACTTCTCAAAATAGCTGGTTAAGTTCTCTTATTTCCAGGTCATTTTACTCACCAAGAAAAACCACTTTTAGTATTCTTTACTTATCATGGTAAATTAGCTAAAAAAAACATCATTGTGCTATCTCTCAGAAAAATAAATAACAGACTTTAAAATTCATCAATAAAATATATGGAAAATAACAGAAAACATTTACTGAACAAATTATGCTTTCACTTGGGTCTAAAACTCGTTAAATGTACTAATTACACTTATTCAAGTTTTATACCCTTAAGAACTATACCATTGTTTATAATAAATTGTTAACAGGATTTGAATATTGTTTATATAAAATAGATTTTTGTGTGTTTGTTTGAAGTCATGCACAAAGCTACACAATGGGCTATCTGTGCTCTGCCCACCATGGGTATTGAAACCCGGTTTCTAGCATTGTAAACCCACAGACATACCACTGTGCCACTGGGGGGGCATATAAAATAGAATTATTAACATTTGTATTGTAACAAACTAGGTTATCATAGTTTTTCTGTGTTGCTTAAACAAGAGTATGTGAAGATCCTTCTCAAATTGTTACAGTTAAAACGTAATTTATAATCACAGATACAGAACACGTACAAAAAAAATTATTCTTGGTAAAAATAAGGAGATCAAGGTCAAATCTATGTTTTCAGAGTTCCATCTAGCCACTAGGTGGAAGTCTAATGAATTAAAAAAAATCTTACATCGAACAACATCTGGTGGCAGCTCTACTGGCACATTTTCACGAATGATCATTTCAAACTTCCTTGGCTTTCCTGTGAAACAAAAAACCTATCCAGTTAGAAGTTGATTGCACTTTGTTAATTAATAATTCTAAAATCATTGTTAATTTATATTTTTTTATTATTTTAGGTTTATAATAGAATATATTATTATAAGTGTGTCAAAAAAGATTAAAAGTACAATTTTGACACCTGATGATTTATTTCAACAAAAAAAAGGCAAGTTTTATTTCTTAAATGATTCTAAGTTTGATTTTAACACGTATGCAAAAACAGGTTGGAAATACATCTAAAACAGAATGATTAATATGACTAAAAAAATAAAATGAACAATAATTCAACATCTTACTGTGTTCTGAGAAAATATATATTTATTCTGTACTGGTCACCCAGATATTAACATTAAGTTCTTTAGTGTTTGTCACTGATTGTGAAATTTAGTGAAAGCAAACGTGATATTAGCCTTAACAGGTGATTTCTATAGTGTGTTTCACAGCTGTATTGTAACAACAGAGGAAGGAAAACAATATCTTTTGTTAATTGGGTTCTAAAGTAACTGAGCTAACCTGTGTGAACTTTTGATGAAAAAAAAGGAGAAAATTATTTAAAGTTCTGAATGCAACGGGGTAATGTAAGTGAATTTATTGCAGCTTGTATAGTAATAAACAGAATACAGAAAAATAATTTGTCTTGTCAATTGGATTCTAAAGTAATTAAATCTGCCTATGTGGGTTTTTGACAAGAAAATATAATTATTTAGAGTTTTAGATACAACTTTCATATCCTATAGTGTAACAAATTTTTTACACATGCTTAACTTGTTTTGAATATATTTTTTTAAACACATGAATTTTATGCTCTCCATTTATTGTCCAAATTTATCGCGAACAAGTCACAGACATCTACTGTAGAAGAATCCCAGCCCACTCATTTTTAAAACCCTGACAAGGTGTATTAATATAATGGAACTTTTGAAACAAATAGGTTTAAACAGCAGTAATGACAAAATCTCATTAAATTAACAACAGTGTTTATTTAGTGTTTATTAGTGTTTATTAAAAGAAAAACTGAAGAGCTTGTTTGAGTATGATAAATACACTTTATATATTATGAAATAAAGTTATGAATAAATAGTGTATAAATTTTGTATTTCCAAAACATTCAGCGTAGAGATTTATTTGTGAAAACTGTGATCAGAAAGAATTATTATTACTAATAATTATTAATTCACTTACTTGGGCCAGCGTCTTCTTCAAATTTAGCCTTGGGTTGAAACAGCTGTTTGAAATGGAGCTTGCAATAGATCTGACCTTCATGAGAAGAATATGTGTCCACACTACAAATTTAACGTACTTATCACAAAAGGGAACTTGAATTTCTCTTTCTTTATTTTGAAATCTTTCAGTTTTATATTGATTAAAAGAACATACAATGAAAAAGCTGTCTCATAAAACACACAATCAACTTACTTTAAGGTCTTGCCACACTCCTTGCAACGAAAGCATGACTTGTGAAAAGCACTCTTCTCTGCTTTAATCTTATCCATAAGATAAACATGCTGGCCACAGATCCTGCACAATATTTCTTTTTCATCCTTTTGGCTCTGTAATAGAATCATTTAGCTTTGAGCAACATAATACACAATTCTCACTCAACTCACCCTATCTCACATGCCATAGCGAGCACTACCTACACTGGTTTATTCTTTCCAAATACAATTTTACCGATACACTTAATTTCAACAGTCACTCTATAACAACGCTATAATTCTCACGTCTCACGTGCTCGTGCTCGACAATACTCAGTTCAATTACACATTCTCT